TTTCCTCCCAAGCATCCACCCTACTCCACTCACTTTGACATGAGGCCTGTTCATTTGCTAATTCCCTGAGGCCAGTGATTTTTCAATAAAGACTGTAATACTATGAAGTTGATGAGGGAGCAAAGAGTTCAGAGTTCACACATGCCTGTACTATCCTGAGGTAGATGATGGCAAATATTTCCAATAAAACAGGAATCCAAGAAAAAACAAGACCATCACTATCTTAACCCACTCCCTCCCTCCCCCAGGATACCCACCTGCTGGACAACTGCACAGCTATGCAGGTCCAAACACTCCACATACTCCATAGGTCAATTTTGACTAATGAGAAGGGAGAATCCTGCTTCAGTACACTGAGGGTTGACACTATCTTGCTGCTGAAAAATTAGTATTTGAAGCCTAGATTGGGCCTAATCACACTATTTTTATAATAGTGCTGTCCCCCATGCCACTGAGAAATAAAAGAGTCTCTTATGAACTCTTTGTTTAACATTTCCAAGCCTTTGCTCCCTTTGAGCAGACTGATGGGCATGTTCTTTGGATAACAGTGAGTTGGGGGTTGCTGCTGTACTTGTGGGATGTTACATCTTTCTACCCATCAGCATCACTGTGGGGGCATCAATACATGCAACTAATGTGCCTGAATTTTCTGGGCAGAAAATTCAGGCACATTAAACTGCACCCTGCCTCCACCCACACACCCTAAGCATGAACCTGTCAGGAGCAAATCTATTCCCAATGGGAGTTCAATCTAGGGCTGCTTCTGGTCTGTTCTGCCCCCTTGCAGCACCCAGGGGGAGTTCCAGGCCCCCCACGGTGCTGGTTGGGGGGTGCGGGGTGGTCCTGATCTCCACAGCTGGGAGAGCTGTCCCAGCTGCCAAGTAAGCAACTTCCGTGACCCGTCCTGATCTCCACATGGCTGGGATGCAGTGTTCCCCTGAGCCAGGACTGCTCTCCCCACCCCCTGTGGCCCCCTGCTGCTTAGGCTGATGAGGAGCAATTTGCTCCTGGTCCTAGTACCTGTATCTCCAGGTATTAGAAAATGGCACATTAGACTAATCTACTGCTTAATAATTGCTGCATATGTGTTGACGGTGATTCTTTACTGTGCATTTGATTAATCTAATGTGTAGTAAAGCATCTTGTGTAGATGCACTCAGTGAGTGCAAAGATTAGTTCCACAGCTATTTGAATCTTCTGCCTAGACATAGTGCCTAGACTTAGTGCAAATGTTGCTTTTCTCACCCCCCCACCTTCCACCTCAGACAGCACATGTAGCATTTGGAGCTTAATCTCTTCAATACTTTAGGTCATTGCACATCACACTTCACCTAACCCACCTCTTATCACAGAACATTAGGCACTCACAGAACTTCTAATGACACACAAAGTGAGCAAAAGGGGGCAGACTTTTCTGCTTTGAATTATTTGTCAGCTAGTAATGTTACTGGCTGTCTCCACAGGGCAATCCACCTCCCACTAGTGCCTCAAGGCAAGCCACCTGCCACTAAGACCAGCAGCCATGTGCAGCAGCCTCCATAAGATGCTGGGGTCCATATATTGGGAGAGATGGAACAGCTCTTCAGTACCCTGATATAATGGGAACCTCAAATGCTTCCAGACTGTGCTAAAGCCATTCAGTGCTTTAGCAAAGTCTGAGAACATAGTTAAGTCCCATCTGTATTACAACTCAATGTGCACTAGGAGACTGCTGTGCTGGGACAAGGTTCCCTTAACTGACTGACTGTCATCCAAAGAACATGTCCATCAATCTGCTCAAAGGGCATGTCTATACATACACTTCAATGCGCATTAGCCTATTTTAATGTGCATTAAAGTGTCACAAAAACCATGCTCTTTAGCCAATGCACATTAAAATAGGCTAACATGCCTTCTTCTACTACATCACAGTGGAGGTACTAGATTTAATGCACATTACCTGAAGTGCATTAATGAATGTGTAGACTTACACAAAGTATCTAAGATATCCTGTCATTTTCCTAATGCAAAGTCACCTTCAGCCAGCATTAATTTCTGCTCTCATCATGAACAGCTCTCCATAGGGAAAAGGAATAAGGTGACAAGAGATTTGCTCTAAGCAACTATACATATAATAATGGACCTAAAAGAAAAACCTTCTCACTCCTAGCCTAGGAGTCCTACAAAGGGACAGGAACAAGCAGGAATCTAACATCCTATTTGCACCAGCTTTCCTTGTTTGACAAGAATAGTGGGATATCTCTAAGATTTGTGTCTCCATCTCCAGGACAAGAGATATTCAGTTATAAATAAGTGGAAGGCATTAAGCCAACACAGGCACAGGCTTACAGCAACTGGGAGAGGAGCAGTCAGTTTGGTAAACTCTGGGTGGGAAAGATGCCTTTGGAGAAGGAGACTGTTTCTGCATATATAAAACCACTTGGGTTAATGTTATTGTAAGAGATATAAACATTTACGCTGCTCATTTCTTTAATATATAGGATTTGTTTATCTTTCAGTAGAACAAAAATTCATTGTAATAGCATTTATAATGAGATGTTTTTGTGTAATCATTGACTTGAGCCTCTCATACAAACAGATGTTTACAACATCTTGTATGTGCATTAAACAAAGTAATAGTCTTTTACCTGAGTCTATAAATTGCCTTTTTGGAACATTAAACATATAACCAAAACTAATAATAAAGCAGCCTCCATTGTAAAGAGAATTACAAATAATCAGTTTGCCCTCCAATGACAGTGTGCTGCTCCCCCTTCAACCTTGCGCAGCTGAAACACGACAGCTATTTAACAGCACACATCAACACAGTGCTATAGCAGGTGACAGAAAATGAAAAGTAACAATTGAAATTACAGAAGGGAACAGTTGTGAAACATGAGGTAGAACCACAGAAAGAGGGGAGAAAATCTCAGCAATAAAGAAACTGAAGCTGCAGAGAAGAACTCAGAAAATGTGTTTTATTCGAGTTCAGGAAGCCCAAAGGAAACAAACAGCACTCGGGGTTTGATGTCAAACAGAGATATGGACCTCTCCTTCAAAAAAAAAAAAAAACCTCTGTGGACTTTCCCTATTTCTCAAGCTAACCACTGATTAAAACCCATAGGCGGCCAGTAGGGGGTGCATGGGGGTTCACGTGCCCCCCCCCAACACTGATGCTGTCGGAAGAGCTGGTGCCCCCCTGACAGGGCCGCCACCATTGGTGGCTTCTGCGGGTGCCCTGCCAGATTCAGGAGGCACCAGTCACATGTTAAAACTCATTCCACCAGCCCTAGCTTTGAGGCACCATAAAACAGGATGGTTTCCTCTTTATGGAATGAATGGGAGTCTTTATGTTTTACATTCTAATACAGACATCTTTCCAAGCTACCATGCATAGACCAACCCCTCCAATATCATTCAATGTAACCACTTTAGTGGCCATTATATTGAAGGATGTTTCTTTCAAAGAGCTGCCGGACTTGTGCGGTTCATGAACCTCCATACCCCAGCAGTGCTACGTGTACTGAGACACTGATGAGTTAAGCGTGGTTAAGATTCTGCAGTTTAAAGACCAGTCCTGTATTAGGCTCTCTGCCCTAAGCCCACATGGAGCTACATTGACTCCCATGGGTTTCCTGGATTATGGCTCTATTCAGTGGCTCATTAATGAACCAGGACCTCATGACCTTACTTAAATTTAAAAAGGACTGTAACTTAAATTCTCATGAGAAGGATCTCATGTAGCAAGCCTCCTCCCCACCAGGAAACCAAACAGAAATTTATAGGGAGCAGCACTAAACAATTTTCACATCACAACACCAATCCCTGACAAGGACCCAGTTTTCTAAGTGTTGTAAATATACCCATGATTTAGCTAGGGCAGCTGTTTTCAATAGAAAAGGTTTCTGACTTTTCACCTCAGCTCAGGATGTCAGCTATCCTAGGAAAGCCTCATAGGCTGGAGAGGCCTCCAGAAACAGGTAACTAATTCTTCAAGCAGGGATTTTGCAGACCAAACTACTGGAGCATATTTTTTTCATTTTTTGCCAAAGTCACACAAGCACATACAGAACCTCACATCCTGAAATCCATCGTGTCCGGACATTTGACTGGGGAGGGCTACACAGCTCCCTGAAAAAAGGGCTGAATACATGTGGGATTGAAAGACACTTGCTGGAAAACAGCTTGCTTGTCTCACTGTCCAACAAGTCTAACAAGCCCATAATAAGCTTCATGCTTTATGATCCTCCCCCGGCCTGTCACCTCCCTTCTTCCCATACCCCCACCTTCTCTTCTGGCCACAATAAATTCCAGGCACCAGCCACCCTACTTCCAGTGCAAGACAATCTTCCTAAAAGCTGCATGCTTCTCAACAGAAGGATGGAAAAAAGGTCTCGAAGCTCCCCCAATGAGTCTCACAGAAGAAGCAAAGAGTCCCCAGCTATGCATGGCAAAAGGGACAAGATGGAAAGCAGCAGAGAAGCCAGCAGAGAAAGAGGGGAGTCCAAAAGAGGGAAAACAAAGGAGACCAGGAAGGAGGGCCAGAGCACTGTGGGGGCATCCAACAGAGTTCAGTCTTCCACAGTGGTGGACGTGGACGAGGTGGTGTCTTTCGATGATGAAATGGAGGTGCTGGCACTGCTGGAAAGTGAGCGACAAGAGGAAGGTATGGGTGGCAGGGGCTTGGGAGGGCAAGCACAGAGAACCCACTGGCTCTTTGGAAGCTGGACTGCCTGGAGCAGGGCACTGGTATCTAATTCTACCCTGACCCTTGCATAGTCCTTTCTACCACCTCCAAGTGAGAGCAAAGTGAGTGAGACCCCACACTGCACAGGTATAAATGATTACCCAAGGCACAGCACACCAGAGAATCAACTCCCCACAGGGCAGAAAAGTGCAATACCCAATGCACTTTTGGAAACCTGTTTCTGCTTTTATCAAGGCTGACCTCTCAGAGAAAGCACTAAACTAAGAGCACAGCTTTCAGTTTCACTATGCTCTGCTTTCACAATTATGCATCTGATTCTATTGCCCATCAATGCTTAGAAGTGCCGGGGACTGTTTACCATCCCTTAGATCAGTGGTTCACAAACTTTTCTGGTCACAACTGCACTGAGAATGGAGAGGATGTAGTGCAACTCCATATATGCAGTTACTGCTGTTTGTGTTCCTGCAGTTAACAAGAGATGGAGATTTACTGCTTCTCTGCAGTAACTGCCTCCATACTCACAACTGCTCCACAGTGGGTGCGTCTATACAAGATACTTACTGTGCAGTAGCCTAATAACACTGTGCAGTATTGAGCTAGTCAAGAAAATGTGTTACTACACTACTGCAGTGTTGTTAGGTTACTGCACAGTAAGCATCACAAAAAACTTGTGCGCTGGTGCTACTGCATATTTAGTTAGTACTTCATTAAGCAAGTTAAGCTAAATGCACAATTAAATACTGCACATTAATGAACATGTAGACACACACAGTGGGCACATGTAAACGTTCATTAATGTGCCGTAATTACGGTGCATTACTTTTAGCACCCATGATAACAGGTACTAACTTAATGAACTGTAATCAGAGCTACTGTACATTACCACAGATTAATACCTTTTATGTGATGTTAATGCACATTAGACTAAATCTGCTATACATTAGCATGGTTTTTGCCAGCCACACTAATGCACAGTAGAGGTTGGCATAATCTACCCTTGGAAAACAAGATTAGCTGAAAGTTCCTTCTTTGCTGTCAGTCTTGTAATGATTTCTAACTATGACTTAAAAGATCTTGGCTCCATAGTGCAGTTGGGTTCCCCATGGTATATCAAGAAATTATAGGGAGATGCAAGCACCAGCAGTCCAAGAATTGACCATATTTAAACCCTTTTATGTGAGGCCCAATGTTGACTCTAGGCAAATTTAGGTGAATGCCCTCTGACTACCTCATAGCAGGTATTGATGACCTAAGGGGAGTTAATTTTCTGACTGTGCAAACAAATCTTAGTCAGTATAGATAGAAACAGTCACCTGTTAATGCATTTGCTCTTTATTTTTCTGTAGGTATAAAGTCTTCAGGTCTCGGTATCTGTGAGTGGCTTCTTACCATCCTATCCCTTCTCTTCATCATCATGACCTTCCCCATCTCCATCTGGTTTTGCATGAAGGTAAGACTAGTCAGGGAGTTGTGTGATTTTGTTGACTTAGAATGCAGAAGGCAGGGTAGATTTTCACCTTTATAGACAAACTAAATCAGAGATATACAGCATAAGCTTTCGTAAGCAGAGGGCTCGTTTCTTCAGATGCCGTGAAGGGACTGTAGGAAGCAGAGCTTTTAAATAGAAAGCAGTGATTAGAATACAAAGGGTAGGGAAGGGGGGAGGTAAAAGAAGGGGGCTTAGTGTGCATCAGGGCTGTAAATCAGTTGTCTCAGTGGGACAGGTACTTAACGTTAGACATGTAATAAGCGCTTTTCTGGCCCAGGGCCTGCCAACTTATGTAGGATCCTTGTATTATTTTGGCTAATCACACATCATCTTTCATTAGACGGCAGGTCAGGTGTCTTGGACAAATTCCAATTAGGGCAATTCCACATTGCCTATTTAATATTCCCCAAGCTGGTTGTAGGGTGTTCCTTTCCTTCTGTTAATACACTATGCTGTAGGGTGGCTATGCACCATTAAACATTTGTTATGTTCCATCTCAGAGATGGCAACAATACAGCAACAGGTAAAATGATTTCTGTATTACAGCTTTTAAAATTACAAGTCTTGGTAAATACAAGGCTTTTTGATATACAATACAACCACATTATCATAAATCCCATCTATAACCAACTCCTGCTTTTAACAATCCAAAAGCAGGAGCCAATTTTTTCGTTGTTATCCTGCAGCAAATAGACTAATCCTATTATAGTGAACACCCTCTTTAAATTAACTTTTCTCCTGATCCTGTGGTGATTCCTTATAAGAAAACTGTACTGATCTGAAACCATTTAGTCATCGCCATTATATAGATCGCATGAAAAGCTTCCTTAAAAGGACATTTGAAGCTTACAAAGTCAAGCAGCTAAGAAATGCCACTGTAATCATGCTCTGTGCGTAGTATTTTTCTTCCCATTTTCATCCTTGGTTCTCACTATCAGTTTCTTTGCCCAGCCAGTCCCAGTTTCCTCTGCCCTGCCTCCAGCTCCCGTTCTCAGCCTTTCCCCCTTCCCTTTCTTTTCCCAGTCTATACATCTTGAGACCTACTGCATCTAATGGTCATAAATGGTCAATTTTCAGGATGGACAGAAGTAAATAACAGGGTCCCCCTGGGATCTGTGATGGGACCAGTGCTGTTTAACATATTCATAAATGAGCTAGAAAAGAGAGTTAGTAGCAAGGTGGCCAAATTTGCAGATAAAAAATTATTCAAGGTGGGCAAGTCCAAGGCAGATGAAATTCAGTGTAGATAAGTGTAAAGTGATGCACACAGGCAAAAATAACCCAAACTGTACCATCACTGTGATGGGTTCTACATTAGCTATTACCACACAGGTTAGGAGATCTGGGAGGCATTGTGGACAGTTCATTCAAAAACACCAGTTCAGTGCTCAGCAGATGTCAAAAAGGCAAACAAAATGTTAGGGGTTGTTACGAAGGGAATTGTAAATAAAACTAAAAGTATCATCATGCCCCTTTACAAATACATGGTGCGTCCACACTTTGAATACTGTGTCCAGTTCTAGTCCCCACACCTCAAAAAAGATACAGAAAAACCTAGAGAAGAGCAACAAGGATGATTGGCAGTATGGAGGGGCTTCCATGTGAGGAGAGACTAAAGAGGCTAGGCTTATTCAGTTTAGAAAAGGAACGCTTGAAGGGGGACATGATAAAGGTTTACAAAATACTAAATGGTAAAGAGAAAGTAAATATGGATTTATTATTTACTATCTCTAAAAATACAAGAATTAGGGGTCACAAAATTAAACTAGTAGGTAGTAAATTTAAAACTAACAAAAGGAAGTTCTTTTTCACACATCACATAATTAAAGTATGGAACTCATGGTCACAAGACATTGTGGAAGCTGACAGTTTAACCAGATTCAAAAAGGGATTGGACAAATTCTTGTACAGTAGGGGCATCAGTAGCTATTGAGTACTATTGGGGGTCTTTAAGAAGAGGCTGGGGGTCTTTAAGAAGAGGCTGGATGCCTACCTGGCTGGACTCGTTTGAGTCCCATTTCTCTTTTTGGGGTTTTTTGTTGTTCTCCCGCCCTGGCGGGGGGTCGGGCTAGAAGATCTACTAGGTCCCTTCCGACCCTTAATCTATGAATCTATGAGTATGGGAATTAGGGATACAGCCTTTAAATTAAAACTTCCTAGACCATAAATGCTGGCAGCTGCAAGTCAGAGAGGAACAGTGGAAAAAAACCCTGGTCATACCCAGTTCACATTTCCTTACAGCATCCACTCTCTGCTCCTGTATGACACAGGATACTGAGCAAGATGGACCTTATGGTCTGACCCAGTAAATGACAATTCTTATATTCTCCTCCACATTGCCTGGATCTGGAGGTGACCATGAATACAGGTGAGACAGGTTCATGGCTTTCTGTTCAAATACCAGGATATGGCCTAGGGCTGTAATTTCAGGGGGAAGTCCTATTGAGTCCCAGCAAATACTCCAGAGAATTTAGTGATGAACTGCAACAAGTCTACTGAGCATATGTAAACTACAGTGTTTTTTCAAAGGCTTATATGTTGGCCAAAAAGTTGCTCAGATTTTCACAGGAACAACAAAAGGCATGTCTATGGCCTCTGACATACATTATTAAATTAAAGGCATCATGAGATCTGATGCACAGTCCCAACAATCATGCCTCCTGCCATGCCACATATAT